TGCTGAACATGAATTTTGTTATCCTCTCCCTCCTTCAAACAGATATTTAAAATGAGAAATAACAAGCACGTGAAGACTAACAAGAAAAACTATTACATATTTTTGCATTCATTTTAGTCTGTTTGCATGATCCTCTTATTTTCTGAATTTACAGTGATGAGGTTAACGAAGCCCACTTTATTCACCAATGTTCCAGTGACTTGTGAAGAAAGAGACTTGCCAGGTAAATTTTATGATCTTGTGCTAAGTACCTATGTGCGTATCACTACAGGTGTGCAATCTGATATACCCAACATGTTTTTTAAAAGAAAAGTAGTTTCATCCCCAAAGGGGACTAATATATCCTAGTTCAAGTATTAACCGTGGAAGGGAAGAAAAAAGGTAGAAGGTATCAAGAAGACAGAAATGGTAAAGAATGTTGATGTTCAGTTCATGCTTAAGACGGTGAATGCAAAGGAAAAAGATTGAGCTATCCCAAAAGGAAAATCTGATACTTTTGCTCGATAGACCGGTGGATACGGATCCACCAGTACATCTCGGAGCCTCTTGCGGTAGATCTCATAACCTGTTGGAGTTGATCTAAGACTGGGGTTGGGGGCTGAGTTCCCGTATGCATGCACATGCATGCTCCAGCCCAGCAGGTCAGCCTATGGGAAGGGAAGGGGCAAGAGCTAGATCGAGGCCCCCACAATGAGGGGCAGTGCCGCAGAGGCAGGAGCAGGGTTAAGTTGAGCAGGGCCCTGGCTGGGCAGGACTTGCCTGCTGCGGAGGCATGCCCCCAAATAATTTTTTCTCCATCTGCCTCTATCTGCTCCCCCTACGTCCCTTCCCCTCCCCACAGACTTACCTGCTGGGGGGGAGCGGAGTGGCAGCAGCTCACGGTAAATCTTGGATTGCTTTTTAAATGCCAACAGTGATCTACTTAAAAGTTGGAGACCACTGACATAGACACTTTGTAACCTCCTAAACTGCAGTCAGTCTACAATACAAGGCCAGATAAAACTAGTAAAGTTCACCAGCATTGCTTTAGGCTTTGGAAGCTTGGTGTGCAAATGGTAAATGTGTGCACTTAGTCTGCACAATTAGAAAGAACATAATAGCCAGTGGAGATGTGTAGTAGCTTTTTAAAATGGCAGAAGGTGGAAAGGTTTCAGGGAAGTGCACCCTGGGTAGAAAATGAAAATGCGTGGTCTTAACCAACCTCATCAAGATACCAGGCAGGACTGTCAAAAATTCTCTTTGATACCAAGGGAAGCAGAATTTGAATAATACCAAAATCTTTGAAAATCCAACCCAGAGAGAGAAATATGGTAGAGAAAGTTAGTTCTCAAAGCCTTTGTCACCCCTAAAGATCATTCGTTGTTGGCTGCTGGACCAATATCCAGGTTTGTTTGTCTTGAATTCTCCAAAGAAGCTTGATTTTTTATTTAAGGTTAAACCATCATCTTTTTGGCATGATGAATAAACTGTTGCTTATATCTAGCATGAAAGGTGTAATTTTAAAGTCTAATGATTCTACACAAGAGCTTTTGCTATAACAAAAGTTATACTTATGATCCCCTTGCACACAGGTCTTTATTTATAATTTTTAGTTTACAAAATCAAAAATACCCACTCTTCACACCTGTTCAGCTATTCAGCCAGTCCAATACACAGTTCAGAGTTTGGCATGAATGTAATTCAAGAAGCAGAAAAGGATTTCATGCCATGATTCAGTCTGTCCTCTGTTTTGAGGTCACTGAGGAAAAACTCATTAACTAAGCAACCATAGATTAGCAACATGCAAAACCTAGTGCAGTTTCATTATCAACATCTATATACATGAAAAAATTGTAATTTCTAAAGGGGTAATAATCTAGTTTATGCAAGTATTTTTGACCTGTTCATTTTTTATGTTTTACAGGAGATCTATTTAATCAGCTCATGAAAGAGGACCCTTCTACTGTAAAGGGAGCAGAAACTTTAATGCTAGGAGAAATGTTGACTTTGCCTCAGAATTTTGGGTAAGAATAAAATATGAAGCTGTGAGGTATGGATATTCCTGCTACTTGAATTCTGGAAATTAGATTTGCTAATACGCTTATTTCTCTATTTTCTCGCTTACAACATGCACCTTTTTCCCTAAAATCATACCCCCGCCCCTCGATTAGGATGTATGTATTAAGTGAGGAAGCCAGTTTTTCTACTTAGGAGAATACCACCCAGATTTTCCTGCTCCACAGTGTAACTACTGTTGTATTACTATTCAGGCAGCTGAGGGAGTCGACTGACATAATGGCTCATTGTTAACAACTCAAGAATTAAGAGCAGTCATCTTTCCTTTTTAATGATCTTGGTGTTCCAATAATCAAGCTAACCTTAGGGCAGTTCTGCTGTCTGCTAGCTGTTCTTGATCTCTTCTCCTGTTTCACAGGCTCGGAGAATCTTTGGATCTCTTCAGAATCATAAATCTATGCATGGCAACCAGTCTTTAGGGGCAGGGGTGGGCAAAATACAGCCTGCGGGCTAGATTTGGCCCACCAGCTGATTTGGATCTGGCCGGCAGGCAGGCACCCAATTCATTGTATGCAGCCCTGCCTGCGGTTGCACCTACTGTACTCTGCATGGAGCCATGTCCTGCCTAGGGCAGCATATGTTGCACTCCCAGCCTCCCCCACCGGAGGGTGCCAGCCCCGCCAGCAGGCACAGCTTCGGAACAGGGGTGCTGCTGCCCAGAGAACTGCTGGGTTCCCCCAGCCTTCAGTGACTCCTCTTCCTGTCCCTGCTGCAGCATTTAGGGCAGCAGGTAGGAAGGGGAAGATCCAGCATTGACAGGGTTTGGGTGGGCTCTGCCTGCAGCTCACTGGTCCTGCTTGTGCTGGGCAGGGAAGCATGTGGATGGAGAGGCGGGGAGCATGAAGGAGCTCAGCTGCTCACAAACCCCCAACAGGCAGGCACAAAACAGGCAGAAAGGGGTTGAGGAGCAGCAGCAGGAGCCAACATGCACTTGATGCAGCCCTGCTGGGTGGGCATATGAAAGAAGCAGCAGGAGCCAGCGCAGGCTCATCTGCAGCCCCACTGGGCAGGTGTGGGACCAAGATTGAAAGCCGGCGGTGCCAGACTCAGCTTCCTGTCATTTCCCCTTCACCTTGCAGGGACTTCTGTTGCTGCCTGCTGGTAGCAACTGCTTTCCTGCCCTTTGCAGCGCACTGCGAGCCAGGCAGGCAGTGCCAGTTTTTTGGGTTTTTCCCCCATCCCCTCTCCCTGCCTGCAGAGGAGCAGGGCTAACTCGCATTGCAAAGAGCAGGCAGGGGGACCCCCCCCCCGGCCACACACATACACCCACATCCCTCACCTCCCACCATACTCACACACACCCCCACCCTAACCACACACATCCCACACGCATACACCCACACCCTGACCACCACCATACCACCACCTATACCCACACAGACACCCCACACCCCCTACACACATCCTACATCTACACGTATACCCACACACCTATATCTTCCCACACATGCACCCACACCCCCTCACACACCCTACCCCTTCATCATACCTGCACACATCCAACACTCCCACACACCCCACACTTGCACCATGCCCACACACAAACGCCCTACACACATCCCATTCCCTACCATACCCACACATACCCAGCAGTTCCACATACATCACACCCCACTCCTACACCTCTGCACCATACCCACATCCCCCCTACCCCTCCACACACAATATACAAGCAACTCTTCCCCCACCAAAGGAGTATTTCCTGGGCAAGGGGAGAGACTTCCAGTGGCAAATTGGGTTAAGGGGTGGGACTTCCGGTCACAAGATGGCAACTAGGGGGCAGGGCATCTGTCAAGGGGTAGGGCTACCCTTGAGGCCCTTGACAACTCCCCAAAACTTGTTAAGCAGCCCTCCAGCCAAAATAATTGCCTGCCCCTGCTTTAGGGGCATCTAGGGTTTCAGCTTAGGGCGAGTCAGCTGAAATTAGTTTCCATCCCTGCTCTTTGCAATCATAATGCTGGAAAACATCTTTTTTTTCTTCATTCTGCCTTTCAAAAACAAGATGTATATTGTATTTCAGGTTGTATTGTATGCGAGAAAATACAGTACCTTCCTTTCCTTCTCTATCTTGCAGTATAAGGTAGGAGTAAGGTAGATAAATTTTGTGTTGTTAACTAAACAAGCTAAAAACACACAATACTAATGCTACTGTAGTGTAGCCTGCCTACATGTCACTGTCTGTGTTTGCAAATATACCTCCCTCTGTAATAGGGTCTGGAGAGTCCTGCAGGATATGCAGCTACTTCAGACTTCTAGCCAAAATATAATCTTCATAGTACTCACTTTACTAAGGATTTGCCTGCAAAAGAGAAACATGGACCCCTTTGCAAGCCCCTGAAATGGGTGTATCAGTCTAAAGCAAGATTTAATGCAGTTTTCTCCAGCGATTTATAGACTTCAGTTGCATAGGTGCAAGCCCTATTTATGTACTGGTACAACATGGATTCATAAAGGGTTGGTACTTCTGTGTAGAGGTCATGGCAGGATTTGTGCTATAGTTCAACAGATTCCCTAACTGATTGATCATCTTAGATTTTTTTGTTTTCAGAGGTTTTCTCTTTTTAAGATGGAATTAAAAAAAAATCAGATGGTAGAGCAGATGGATAACTTCACTATTATAAGTTTCTTTTGGCCTTGGACTACACTAAGAAGGACTTGCAAACATTTCCTGTTATCGCTAGATCTGGTTCAGATCCTTTGAGGTAGCAACATGGCAATTTCTAGAGCAGAAATTGCTCTATCTAACTTCACTATTATAAGTTTCTTTTGGCCTTGGACTACACTAAGAAGGACTTGCAAACATTTCCTGTTATCGCTAGATCTGGTTCAGATCCTTTGAGGTAGCAACATGGCAATTTCTAGAGCAGGGATGGCCTACAATCAAAACAGCACATCAATTAGGCATGTTCTGAGCAGGGTTGGATCAGACAGTTCTTAAAGGCCATGGACATTCAAGGCTAGGCTCTGTTCCATGCTGTGGGGGGGTAATCTTCCCCCCCCCCTGGGGGGCTGAGGAGGGGAGGACCTGAGCGAGGCTGTTTGGCCCTGGAGGGGATCTCTTCCCCCCCCCAACACGGAGCAGGACAGGGGGCTCTATTCAGTGCTGAGGGAGGAACTTTTTCCCCTTCCTCTTCCTCTTCCCCCTGTCCCCCGCCACTGCAAGGTGGAGAGGGAGGGCTCTGTGTAGCACTGCCTGTCCCAGCTGAGACATGGGGAGCAGCTCTAACAGAGCTGCAGCTGCTGGAGGTACCCTTGCCCCTGTGATCTGAACTAGCCTCACTCAACCCCAGCCAAGGCAGCTGCATGGTGGGGCCAGGCTGTGCTGGGAGGGCCACCCCCTGCAGATGCAGTGCAGTGATGGGGATGCAAGCAGAGCAAGTGCAGCCAGGCAGCGGCTTACCCTGTTAGCAAGCAAAGCCCAGCAGCAGGCAGCTGTTTACTAAGGATGGCTTGCAGGTGCTATGGGGGCTCATGGGGACATCAGTGAGCCTCCGTGGTGGGCAGCTGCCAAGCTCTGGGCCCCCACAGCACCTCTAAGCTGGCCCAAGTAAGCCAGTATCTGGCTAGTTGCTAGCCGTGCATACCGGGCTGCGCAGGGTAAGCTGTGCTCGCGTACCTGTCACTGAACTGCACCTGCCAGGGGTAGCCCTGCCCCCACAGCCCAGCCCTGCCCCACCATGTAACTGCCTTGACCAGGGCTGAGCGAGTCTGAGACGGGGGCGGGGCCACCCCAGCAGCTGTGGCTCCATTACAGCTGCTTCCCACACCCCAGCTGGGCTGGGCCAGACAGGGCAATGCTGTACAGGGCCCCGCCCTGCCCTCCCTGCCCTGCAGGGGCAGGGGGAGGAGGACGAGCGGGAATAGTTCCTGCCAGCACTGAACAGAGCCCCCCCTCCCCTCCCTATGGGGACTGGGAAGAGTCCCACTCAGCATGGAACAGAGCCCTGCTTCCTGCCCTATGGGGGAGGAGGGGGGACATGACCAGGGACAAGAGTCCCCCTCTGGGGCTGGGCAGCATTGCATGGAACACCCCCTCCCCACTCCATGACGGTGGCGGAGGAGCAGGGGGAAGAGGGGAGGGGGGCTCTATGTGAGGCTACCCAGCCCCAGCACTGGAGGAGGACTCTTCCCCCTGCTTCTCCCTACCCTGCAGGGTGGGGAGGGGGGTGCTCTGTGCAGTGCTGCCAGGGAGTGGTTGTAACTGAGCTGCAGCCGCAGGGGGTGAAGAGCAGGGAGAAGTCACTTGCTGGGGCTAAGCTGGGCAGCCTCACATAGAGACCCCCTCCCAGCCCTGCAGCAGCAGCTGGGATGAGGAGGAACAGGAGTCCCCCTCCAGTGCCACACAGAGCCCCCACTCCCTGCCCTGGGGGGAGGAGATGGGGGAAGAGGTCCCGCACAACATGGAGCAGAGCCCCCCACTCCCCACCCCTGGGGACAACCATCCCGGCATGGCCCCGCTAAGGTGAAGGGGTCAGGGAGAAGGGTTAATTCCTCCCTCCATCCCTTCTGGTCCCTTTTACCCTGCAGCCAGGGTCTGCGAGCCCCAGGGGCCACCATTGCAGCCCCCCTGTCCCAGAAGATGGGCAGACCCTGGCTACGGTGGGGAAAGAAGGGAAGGAGGGAAAAAGTAACCTCCTCTCGGCCCCATTAAGGCAAAGTGGGCAATGTTGGCCAGTGTCTTGCCATGTCCCATCCTTGCCCAGGCTAGAGAGTAGAGGGGTGGGCCAGCCCTGCTCTGGAGCACAGAGCATGCTGGAGGACTCTGGTTTAACTTAAACCAGGAAGGGGTCTGGAACAGACATTATATAAACCAGTTTGAGCTCAATCAGTTAAGTCTGATACTACGTTCAACCAGGTTTATCATAAACCAGTTTCGGCCGTTTTGAAACTGGTTTGTATGTACTGAATGTCTGTTCTGTTACAGGTTTAAACCAGTTTCTAATCACTTAAACCAGTTTGTGCAATGTCTGTCCCTAGCCAAAATGCCAGTGGCCCGCTCTGTAATCCAGCTCTTAATGTTGCTACAGCTAATGAAGCTGAACTACCTGTTCTACAGATAACCCTGTAGAGTTTTAAAAGGAAATATTTTAAATCCATATAGATTAACTCTTAAGGAAATACAATAGGAAGCTTTATTAGTATTTTTGTTTAATGTTATTAAACACTACTTTTTTTTTAACAGAAATATATTTTTGGGAGAGACATTTTCCAGTTATATCAGCGTACATAATGATAGTAACCAAGTTGTCAAGGACATACTGGTAAAGGTATGTGAAAATATTTCTATATATTGACTTTATAAATATACTAGATATTGCACTTCTAAGGTATTATGCAGACTTAAGAAATGACCATTAAAGATTTTCCTAGCCCAGGAAAATCTTTACGTAGCCAGAAACAAAACCATAAAACAGTTTGAAGATACAGCCAGCAATGGGGATAGCACCTAGAAGCAAAAAATAAAAGACTGTAGAAGTGCTTGTAGTATTGGTGTAGCTGAATTTTTTCTACAGCAGAGACCATCTACAGTTGTATTCTGTACCAGCTATAGAATCAAAGCAGTCTCAGACAGTCCCATGTAGAACACAAGTGGATTTGTATTTTATAAATATCTCAAACAAGTATAATTCCAGCAAGTATTTGTTGCTCTCATTTAACAAAAATAAGTTAAAACCTAGATCCTGGAAGCCTTTCAGGGGTGGAACTCTGAAGTAAGTGGAAGTTCTCTGAGAAAAGGGTTTTCAGGATGTGATTTGACGTGTGTGCTGGTGACAATTTTAGGAAAGCGTCACATATTGATCTTATTACAGATACAAATGCAGTTAGTCACTTTATAACTAAATAACATTTTATTTTCTGGTAATCACAATTTCCAAATATTTGACTAATCAGCATTTAAACAGAAAATCTACAATAAACTACCCAGACGATGGATCTAAATTAAGTCAGCAAAGCAAAAATGATCAGGCAGTAAATAAAAGCAATTAAGATTTAGTATATGATACTTTTTTCTCTCTCCTCCCTCCCTTTTTGTACTAAAATGTACTTCGTTTAGTACTTAATGCAATGTCAGCTTGCAGTCCTAATTCACATAAAATTTTCCTGGCCTGCAAGCTTGGGATGCTGCAGATTAAAGTCTTGTTTATATTCCCATTCATTTAAAAAAGCAACACGTAATCTTTGTGCCCATATCTGTGGGTGGTTTGTTTGTTTGTTTTTTAAAAAAGCTCTATAAGTCGGATCAAATTCTGGTGACTTCGCCTTCAATTTATATACAACAGACTGAATTAATTGTAATGTTCCTCAAAATATATTTTTACTGTGTTGCTGTTTAGATACAGCCATCTGGAAACAATTCTAACTGGCATTACATTTGTTAATTCCAAGGCTGATCTTCAGACAAGTTCTCAGCGTCTAAACCTTTCAGCTTCCAGCGCGGCAGTGGCAGAACTTAAACCTGATTGTTGTATTGATGATGTTATTCACCATGAAGTAAAGGAAATAGGAACACACATGTAAGGTTTTATGTCTCCTCCTTTATTATATTTCTATCTCTGAATTTGTTTTTAATAGGAAAAGGCTAGTTTTCCATTAAATTATACCTAACTTGCTTCTACCTTTAAATCACTGCAAAGTTACTGTAAAGCATAAATGGAAGCACTGCACATGCACAGTGTTTTGTTCTGTTCCTGCTTTAGTGCAGACTTCAAGGTAAAAATGGTTCAAAATTATTAAAATGGTTTTTTCTTTCAGCTTAGTGTGTGCCGTAAGTTACACAACCCAGGCAGGAGAGAAGATGTACTTCAGAAAATTCTTCAAATTTCAGGTATTGAACATAAGAATATACTGCATTTTGAAACTAGTTAGTACTGTTTACTTAGAAATATTGCAAAGTACTTACCATATGATAGAAAGCTCCAACCAGCTATAAAGTTAGACCTCAAAAATGTATACTGACTATATAGCTGGTCCCACTGAGCTTTAATCTGAAACATGTAGCAGGGTGTTCCCCATGGCTAAGAGCCCTATCAGCTGATGAGGCTCCTAGCCACAGGAGTAAACCATGCCCAGCATGTAACCCGTGGCGATACGCGATTTCCCAGGGCCAGCTACAGCAGTGGAAGAGGGAGAGGGGAGACAGGCAGCACAGCCTGGCCAGGCAGGTAGCAGCCAGCAAGGAGTTCTACCAGCCTGCTGCAGCTGCTGCTTCTTCCCCCTCCTGACCCCCTTCCCTCGTCGTTCCTCTCTCCTGTCCTGCTTCCTTCCAGTTCCTGTTGGGGCTTTGCAGGGCTTTTCTCCAGCACCCCCTTCCCTCCCAAGCTGCATTTAGCCCCAGGCTAAACAATAACCAGCAAGCTAGAACCAGTTATCACTGAGCTGATTGGTTAAACAATTAATCATTTAACTGTTCACATACCTAGTATCCAGAAAACAATAGATAGAAAAAAATAGAATGTACATAGTGTCTGAAAATAAAAATTCCTCGTGTCCAACACCTTAAGAGTTTTAAAAGGGAGAAGGAACAGAACTAAAACATTTTACAAGAAAAGTGCTTCCTCAGGGAGCTGCAGACATAGCAAAATATGCATGTGATTACAAGCAAACAGGTTCTCATTTAAACACACGCCATAATTGCACATCAAGCGACTGATTCACCTTCACAGTAGTATTGTCAAATTGCAGCAATACATTGTCATCAGAGATCGCATGGCTTTCAATCCTCTGCCCTGATTAAAACTGTATTGCATTCAAAAGCTTGTCTAGCTCGATCCTAGCTATGCAGTTGGTCCAGTAAAAGATATCAGTGTAAGACATCCTTGCCTCTGTGTTGAAAATATGATAGTAAAAATTATCAGTGTTGTGTGGGCGTGAATTATTTGCTTCATGTGGATTGTGTCCTGTCAGAACAGATACCGGTTAACTCATTTAGGACCGGCTTTTAATTATGCTCTCCCAGCTTCTTAGGTTCTGGAAATGTTTACAATAATGAGGAAATGGTGGAAACGTGTGAGATTTACCCAAAAAACCCACCCTTCATCTAATGTTAGCTATTAACAGGGGAGTCTTAATATTTTCATTAGGAACAAAAATAAATAAAAGAATAAGTTGCTGCCAAGATGTAGGTTGAAATCCTTGGTTAGAATATTATGTAGTTCAGGGACGGGCAATTATTTCGGGCAGAGGGCCGCTTACCCAGTTTTGGCAGGCTGTCAAGGGCCACATAGGTAGCCCTGCCCCTTGACAGGTGCCTCACCCCCTGGTCACCATCTTGAGACCAACGTCCCAATGTCTTGGGACCAGTGTCCCAGGGCCAGCATCGGTGGGGCCCAGAGTGGGGCGCAGGCCAGCAGGGGTCTGTGGAGCTGGGCTGGGCTGCACCAGCAAGAGCTGGCCCGGCTCCATAGAGCCCCTGCCAGCTGAGACGCCATACTCCTGCCACCCTGCTCTGGGCCCCGCCCGGCACTGGCCCCGGGACACCAGTGCAGGCCCTGTGCTCCAACTGGCTTCCCGCCCACTCATACCCAGTGCCCCCCAGCCCTGTGGTACAGGCGGGGGGCAGTGCACATCCCCGACCCCCTGCTCGCCAGCAAGGAAGAAGCTGGTGCTGAGTGATGGGAAAAGTGGCTCCTCGCCTGCCCCATGGCCGGCGCCCTGCGCTGCTGGCATTCACAGCCCACACGAGGCTGTCTGGAGCAGGCACAGGCAGCTTCATGCAGGCTGCAGGTGGCTACAGCATGGGGCGGGTGAGGGGCCACTTTTCCCCCATTCAGCACCAGCTTATAACCCGCTGCCAGGCAGCGGGGAGAGGGGACGGGAAAGCAGCCCCTCCCTGCCCCATGCCCGGCGCCCCACACTGCAGCCGCTTATAGCCGGCCTGGGGTTGCCTGTGCCTGCACCTGCAGCGCGGGGCGCCAGCCATGGGACGGGCAAGGAGCCGCTTTTCTCCACGCAGGGAAGGAGGCCAGGGAAAAGCTGAGCACGGGTGGGGGGGAAGTGGCCCCTCCCACGCCTGGTGCCCCACGCTGCAGGCACTCGTAGCCCGCATGGGGCTGTCCGGAGCAGGCATAGGCAACCCCACACAGGCTGCAAGCAGCTGCAGCACAGTGCACCAGGCATGGGCAGGGACGGGCCCTTCACTCCTTCCTTGCCCGGGGTGTGTCTCTCTCTCCCACCCCCTCTGAGCTTCCCACGTGGGGCAGCCATGCTCCCAGCACAGAAACCCCGGCTGAGGCTTCCACCGGGGCCAGGTGGGCCCGGGTTGGAGCCCACCGGTCTTCCCCTGGGTCCTACTGCCCTTGGTTCCTGTCATTTTTGACAGGAACCAAGGGCAGAGAAATATTAATTTTCTACATTTTTTTAGGGGCCCATGGGCCAGATAGAATGGCCTCGCAGGCTGTATTTTGCCCACCCCTGATGTAGTTAAACGTTGTTAAACTCAAGGCACCCCACAAAATATTACAGCTCTTCACTTTCACTTGTTTTTTGACTATAGAAAAATAATAGAGCAATTTTTCTGTTTTAGTGAACTCAGAGACCACAACAAATCAGAAAGTTTCTGACATTATGGATTCCTATTTGAAATCTCTGGGTTTATCTTGTGAATCATGGATAGGTGTTAGCATACCTAACTGTGCTTATATTGCCTGGTACCCCCCAAAATCCTTCAAAGGATTTTATGACAATCCAACGTACTGTGGTACCTTGGCTTTGAGAACACTGAGTTAAATGATTTTACATATGTTTATGCAGTGTACATAAAGCTCGAGAGCAGGCACATTAGCTAGTTTTTAAAAATACCAGAGTGACAGGATTCCAAATAAAGACAGAACAGATCAAACTGACTTTCCTGTGTAAAAATAGCTTAGTGATAAAGATATTTTATGTGATACGTTTGCTATAAACTGGAATACTCAGGGAGGCGATCACAGGATATGAGTGAGTATAAACCATGTTTAGTTTATAAAGCTGCTTCTGGACACTAATTGAGTATACCTACAGCATCCTTGGAAATTTTTGATGTAGTACTTTGACATTTTTATCTCTCTCCTGTAAAGAATTTAAGACGGGGCAGGGTGGGTGGTGGCAGCACTGGGAGAGGGGCTCCAGGGGTGGCTATAGTGAATTTTAGGGTGGCTGCAGCCCCCACTGTGGCCTCCCTCTGCCAGTGCTGCCATTGTCTGCCCCAAGCACAGCCCCAGCCCAGCCCCCTCCCCGGGAAGAGGCTGACACCGCCTGCCTTTGCCTTGTGCAGAAATCCAAGGGGGACATACCTCCCCGGGGGTGTGTGCAGCAGCGAGAGCCACCCATGTCCCGCAGATGAGCTGCCCATGCTGGGCAGCCCCTGCCCCAGCCTCACTCCCTCCCTCACTGTGGGGGCCTTGATCAGCACCCCCCCATCCCCCCCCCCCAACTTACCAGCCAGACACTGTTCTTCAAGCTGCAGGGCTGCATATTAGGGCTGTGCAAAGCTTCAGTCCCCGGTTTGATTCGGTGGAGATTTGACCCAATGTGGTGGCCAAATCTCTGACTCCAAATAGAATCAGAGGACCCTTTAATCTCTGTGAATTGATTCAGAACCCTCCAAATCAATTCAGAGAGATCCAGAAAGATTCGGTGATTGGACATAGACACGGCTTTAAATGTTTTTTCTACATACCTCTAGGTACCAGGTGGCTCGTGAATGCTGAGATGCTGGGGTGCATGGAGTGTCCCACAGAAGCATGGGGGGCTCCCCAGTGTGCTCGGCAGCAGACCCAGAAGTGGGCCAGAAGTACTTCCGGTCCACTTCTGGGTACGTTGGGAAAAGCGCAAGAGGTCCTACCCCACGCACCTCCCTATCTCAGCGACTGGTGCCTCCTGGGTCTGGGGGGGCACTTGGGGTCCACCTGTGGCTGATCACTGAACCAGGGGGTATGGGAGGGGCCCCCTATGCGCTCCCCGGAAATACTTCCAATTCGCACAGGGGGGCCGCCTGGTGTTCCTGTGGTACTCTCCATCCGCCCCATCATTGCAGCATTCATGAGCCACGCCAGGTACCTCAAGGTATGTAGCAAAAACATTTAAAACTGTGTCTATGTCTGAATCACAGATTCTCCGAATCAGCATCGAATCTTCAGATTTGGATTCAGCTGAATTGAATAGGGTACAGTGATCTGAATCAACAAATCGAATCATTGTCCCTGATTTGGGCCAAATCCAAATCAAATAGGGCCCGTTTCGCACACCCCTACTGCATATCAGCAATTGGATCAGTATTGGTCGATATGGCTGATTAACAGTCAGCCATCGGTATTGGCCCAACAAATCATTATTGGTGTGCCCCTGTTTTTTCCCCATGCTGATGGGGGGGGACACACCTTGTCTTCTATTCAAGTAAATATGGTAGTACTTTTTCTTTCAACTGGACCACAACTGGAGAACAGAAATTCCAGAACTGAGGGGATTAACTTTTTTATGAATTAGGGAGAAGTATAACTTACACACACAAACTATGTACTTTTATATAAAAATACATATACAACTTGTTTTAACACTGGCATTTTGTATCACTTTTCCCAAGATACATTTTCTGATGCTATATTCAACAGCTGATCTTACATGATTAAAATGCTGTTTGGTTTCTTCTAATAATCATCCCTTGAGATGTAACAGTTGAGCTTCCAAAGAAATCCAGGCTAGTAATTGCTTGATTTTTTTTTTTTTTTTTGATTATTATTTTTTTTTTTAAGCTAATAACATACAGCTAATGTTTCACTGCCTTATAACTGTTTTCAAAGTGTTTTGAGTCTCAGGGTGAGTTTTATTTGTTGCAAAACACTGGAGAGATTTGATGCAAATATTTCATGTATTTGCTTTCTTTCGAACAAACTAGAAAGTATTTGTGGGTTGTGGAAGAATGAATCATTACTTCTAAAAAAGCTGATCAACAGCCTTTATTTCCAATGTAAGAACTGGTCTGATGTGGAAAATTATTTGTCATACAGCTTGTCAGAATCATTCTGGTGTTTAGTAAAGCAATGAGCTATACAGCCAATAAACAGGAATAAAGAAATAAGCTGAAATCTATCATTCATTTGGCTAACACATGTTTCCTGTTATATCAAAAGAAAAATGCTTAAAAGATGGATCACTGAGTGTTTTAAGAACCTATCAATACTAGTTTAAATCAGTATTTTTTTTTAATTGCAGAGAAGTCTGAGAAAACTCTCTCCAATCTATATTTTCTCCTCAGGTTCTCAAACCATTAGATGTGAAAACAAAGTTCTACAATGCTGAGGTAAGTACTAAACTTGTTAAAATTTAATATACAGTAAGTAGTATTTAAACTGAATAGGAACCCCCCCCGCCCCCCCCCCCCCCCCACACACTAAAAATATAGTACGCTAAGAATGAGAGATGCTAGGTATATTAAGCTGCTTAATTTATGAAAATATTATTTATTTGCTTTGCTTTGCTTTTCAAATAAACTAGATATCAGAAGTATTGTTCATACTGGGGAGGGGAGAAACTGGATTTGAAGGCTGACATCTCTAGATTTTATTCCATCTAACAAAAAAATTTTCTGCTGCTTTCTTTTGAATTTTAATTACTACAGTCATTTCTTAGATTTCTTTTTTGTAGTAAATATTCTGAATGTGAATGGGAGAGCACTGTTAAATTGTCCAGAAGAAGGTTAATTGTAGTCAATTTTTAAGTACTTACTTGCCACGCTTCCGAAACATTTGGTTTTGGTTTAGCGAGAATGCAGCTCCTTTATTAAGTAATTTGATTTCTTATGTTTGTCACTACTATTATGTTTACATAAAAGCCACTTCAAAGATGGAAGGCAATTATGATTATGAGGGTGATTAAGCACTTGAACAAGCTACCTAGAGAAATTGTGGACCCTCCATCCCTGAAAACTTTCAAGAGCAGGTAGAGAAACAACTGTGATGGTTGTCAGGGATGATCCTGCCTTGAGCAGGTGGCTAGACTACATAACCTCACGAGGTCCCTTCCAGCCCTACTTTCCTATGATCATATAAATTCATATAATTGGAAGGGGCTTTCAGGGTCATCTGGTCCAACCCTTTGCATGAAGTTACTCCTAAATCATTCCTGACCAATGTTTATCCAGCTTCCTCTTGAAAATCCCCAGTAGATATAATATAAAAATAGTGTATAAGAATAAATATTAGTTATTTTACACTTAAAGAGGATTTTACTTTTTCTAAATTGAAAACAGTATGTATTAAGAGATCAATTTCAGTGTATTCTGCATGTGTCAACTGTTTTGTCTTGAACTTTTTTATATCCCAGGTCTATTCAGATTATAGTCTCAGTAGCCTTTAGAATCAGGCTGTGAAGTGAGGAAATTTGGGTTCTCTTCTAAGCTGTACTGTTTACATGCTGTGAGATGTTAGGCAAGTAATTTTCTGTGCTTCATTTTCCCAGTCTGTTGTTTGATAGTACTCTGATACGTAATACTATCCACAGAAGTGCTGTGAAAATTGATTGAAGCTTGTAAAAGTAATTCAGTATTTTCGGTTGCAAGTTGGGCATTTTAAATGAGTAACTTTGAAGTGTAATGTAATTTGACTGGAGACATCCAACTAATGTGCTCCTCTAGTTGGATAGGAGTCTTTGGAAGAAACTGCAAAATAATAAAATTGAAAGTATTTTACTTGCCTCAAAACTTCAGCATAAGGTGGAAGAAGGGAGGAATAAGATCTAATGTGTGGGAAGAAAGGGAATGAAAATAGTCAGTAGTTTCCCTGCATGAAACTAGCTTAACACATGCATTCCTAAATATGTATTCATGTGTTGTTCTGTGAATAAAGTTGTCCTTAGAGAACTGAATTATTTCCAGAACATTTCCACTTACTCTGATTACTTGCATGCATTAATGGCACCTCCAGAGGCTCATGCACAAGCAGGGCTGTAAAGGCATTGTATGTAGAATACAAAATAGTCCTTGCCTTAAAGAGTTGATAGATTTAAATAAACAGGTCAGATAAAGGGCAAGAGAAGGGCAGGGTTATTCCTCCTTTGCAGATGGGAACATGAGATGTAAAGAGTGTCATGCCTGATGTCATACAGAAAGTCTTTATGAACATTTTCCCTCCATTCCAAATTAATTCAACACATTAACTGCTAGGTTGTTACTAGGAATAAACTACAGGAAGTAGTATGAGGAAGGTTGAATCTGATGAACCAACAAAAGTTAAATGCTTTCCTCAAATATCACCTGACTTAAATTTAATCTAATCTTGCAAAAGTCAGTCCTTTTAACCTTTCAAGGAGTGCAATCTATCATATTAAAACATGAGGGAGTGGAATTGATTGTTTAGTAAAACTAGCATTATCTGCCAATTTTCAGTAGCAGGAGTATCTAAAAATATACTATAGCAAGGTAAAATATTAGTGCCACTAGTAAAATGGAATTTAATGGGCACCTCTATAGGGAACAAAATAAAATGCTTCCCTTTTCTACCTTGGGTTTTAATATTGTTTCAGTAGTTGTTCCAGTTGGAAAGATAATGAGACTATGGATCTCTGCAGGCAAAAGTATTATCATCCCCTTACCTCTGTGAAATATCCTCTCAACTCTGAAATGTCATGAAGAATGGAAACCTGAATCTCTTAGCAGAAACTTTTTTAAAGAGCAGGTTAATGTTTTGTGAATTGCTGGAAAGCAAAAAAGTCTTAAATTTTAAACCCTCGGGACAATTTTAGCTAGGAACAATTAATTCTATGATGTATTCATAAGTCTCAGAGGGCACAGGTTTGTCATGAAAAATATCAAACTACCATGCAGGCAAGGTTCTTTGAGTAGATGTGATATCTTTTATTACACCAACTGAGCAGTTGGAAAAAAGTTCTTACCAAGGTTTCGGATGCAGTCACCCTTCTTCAGGCATAGGGAGTACTTTAGCTTCTCTCATTTCTTGTAGTCTCAGACCAGCAGAGTCTTCCTATGCCTGCGGAAGGGTGACTGCACCTGAAAGCTTGCTAAGAACTTTTTTCCAACTACTCAGTTGGTCTAATAAAAGATACTACATCTGCTCAAAGAACCTTGCCTGCCTATGTCCTTAGACCAACACAGCTACCACCAAAAACCCCTCAAACTACCAAGGATAATTTTACAAAACTAATAGTTCTGTATTACCCACTTGCCTAAAGGAGGAGGAAAATGTTAAAGGGTTCCTCTCCCATCCATTCCACTATTATCCATCTTATCCATCCATCAGTTGTAGCAAAGGGTAGTCGAGAAGGTGTACTGTCTGCGCTGGTGAATGTTTGCAAAGCTGTTTTAATTGCATCATCATCTTTTTGTCTGGGAACATATACAGCTGGTATTATCTTAGTATCTGATCATGTTGCATCTTTCAGAAAGAAAAAATGTGACTAAATAGTCTATTCATTGGTTAGACGTTCTGTGTGATATTATATTGTCAGTATTATCAGAAGAATTAAATTCTCAATGTTATGAAAGGAAATCTGGGGAAGAGAAAGCCACAAATAAGGTATCTTTTATGTATATAACTTCAAGTAAATAAATCTTGTAAAGGGTGACTAGCCTGCTCACCTATTGCTAAGATTACTGCAGTGGGCCTCTACTTCCAAGGTCTCACTAAGAAAATAGATTGCAACTCTTCAGTATAAATATACAAAATATTTTCTAAATGTAACTGAAGAAGGAAAAAATTAACTCTTGTTGATGCTTGTATTGTAATAGCATGGAAAGGTCCCAAATTAGGACAGCCATCAAGATTGGCACAGGGCTGCTTAAAAACATAGGAGGCCTAGTCCCCACCTGTCAGGCTTGAAATTTTAAGGTCTGAACCCACAACCAACAATGTCAATAGAAAGGCTTTCATTGAGAGCCTTATAAAGTCCTAATCCAGGAAAACACTACTATCATACTAATATAACTAGTTACATGGTTGGGCCCTAAGAGAAAAGTATGTAATTACAACTGATCTTTTTCAAAGTGCCTCATCTAGTAAGATAGGCAGACAAGGTTCCTTGGGTGAATTTGATATCTTTTATTAGACTAACCCAAATAGTTGGAGAATATTTATTAAGCAAACTTTCGGGTTCAAAAACCCTTTGTCAGGCTAAGGAAGTTTCAGCAGTTGGTGTGTGCTCTTCATGGATGGAATGAAAAGACTCTTATAGTAAGAGGCTTTTCCTGGAAACATTGTGCCTTGTTTTGCAGTCAGCTGTAACATATGAGTATTTTGATGGCAGACAATGAATTTTTGTCCTAGGCTTTTATCAGAGGAACAATTCTTCATTCTTCTAGTAAGACCATCAGCCATCTCAAACAGAACTCATTGTACTGATTTATATCTTAGGTAGATTTGGGTCCTGTTCAAGAACTAGTCGCATCTTAATTCTGTTACTTTTCCTACCGTACCTGATCCATAGCTTACTCACTTGAGTCTGTATTGAACATCAAGCAGGCATAAAAAAAATTAAGCATAATAAAAAACAATACTAGTAAGCAGTTTGACAATATCAGTTATACTTTATTAGAAATATAGTTGTCACGTGTCTTTTTATTTACATTCCTCTCTTACTAATGCTGTCTCATTTGGAAAGTGCAAAAAAATGCAAAAGTGCATTTTGTTTGAAAGTTATCCTCCTTTTTCTTTAACATTTAACCCTAATTTCTCTAATGTGTTCTTTTTTATTTTCCCATTAGAGTGACCTCAGTTCTGTGGTAATTTTTATTTATTTTTATAAATATGTATGCTTTTTTAAATGTCTCTTCATCTCTGTGCCTGTTATTAACATTTTTTTATTTTAAAACCATAAATGATAACGCAATGTTTGTTCTGCCTATCATTAACTGATATTTTTCACATCCATACTTCTTTACATATATGTACAGCTATATTTAATTCTTTAAAGCAGTTAGCTCTTTCTTTAATACCCATTGTTGAAACTAGAATTAGAGGAGACCTTATTGGTGATGGTCAGTTTACAAAAATGTTTAGGTGTCTAGTAGAATTATGATTGTATTTATCATATTTTTTTAATCAAACCAAACATTTCTAATAGCAGCTCTTATGTTTGGAGAAACTGAGCTAAAGAGTTTAATTTTTCTCTTTTGGGAGAATACCACTTGTTTGTATCTAGATCTTGGAAGTGGTTGATTTATAATCACAAATTATCCATTTACTTAATCTTTAAAAAATCCTTTAGTCTCTGGCTGGTGGAGACGGTGGGTTTGAGGAGAGAGCACAAAATGGAACTTGTCCTCTTTTATGCTAGCTAAACTATGCTTTGACACTTTTGATTGCATGCATTGGTGATTTAGTATGGTATTTCTGCAGTATGCTTTCACTTTAAGGTTTAAGACATGCGCTGTGTTTAAAACAGACTGAATATTTTAAAAGATCCTAAAGTCTTTTTAACCTTATTTATTTTAGAAGTCTTGGGCTTACTATAAAACTAACTTGCTTTTTCATTGTGCTGCTAATTTATTTTTTTCCCTTCAATTTAGCTCCTTCTAAATTTCTGCTGGTGGTTGTGGCATTTAAAAAAATCTCTGGTTTAAATTTGGGTAAATGAATATTGTAAGCAATGGATTTATGGGATAAAGAAATACCTTTTTTTTCATTAATTAGTTTCCAACAGTATCAATTTTAAGCCAGTTCACAGGATTACTTGGATGACAGACATAACTGCTAACTCAACACATGCTACTGTATTTATTACCATACCACATGCACCATTTCCCTGCAAACTAGCCATCCATAGTTGGGCTTCTTTTAAGCAACAAAACTGATTCTCATGTTGAAATGAAGGCAAAAGAATGCTGGAGTGGCAGCACGGGGTTGTACTCAGCACCAGCTCAGCCAGGGCTGAATTCTTTGGCCACATGGAGCAGGAGCAGAGTCTCCTTGTCAGCATCACTTCCACTTCCCCTTCCCCTTCCCTTTCCTTTCCCCTGCTGTAAGGCCAGCAGCTACAGATTTAACCCCCTCACAGCTGCTGCCAAGTTGGCAGTTATTGGCTGACCTCCATAGGGAGAAGTGGTAGTAAAGCTGGCACCAGTCTGTGACAAAGAAAACTTTGGAAAAATCCTTCCTCCCTCCACCCCCCTCCAATTTCATTCTGCCTTCCCAGAAAAAGTGTATGACTTTGGGCAGGGCAGGGGGGCATGTGATATGCTAATAAATATGCTAGATTCTGAGGGCAGAATTTTACTTGAGCATATCTTACCTTTCCCCACGTGTTATAGAAAGATCCAAGACCTATGGTACTTGCCCCAGCCCAGCTTCTGCTTACATCAATAATTCACATTGATTTTAGCTGGTCACCTAATTACAAAAAGGAGTTGCTTATTGGTGCCCCAGACATTGTATCTAGTAAAGTGAGCTTTCCAGCAGTTGTTTAATGCTGAGATTTTTAGCACTGCAAGATAGCTTCATGTATCTGGGATTCTACAGGATATGTAAGATGAACATGGCCCATGGTTCCTTACTTTCTCAGATGAAGCATGAATCCTGCCTTTCCTGATGACAGGATACCTCCCCCTGAACTCGCACAGTTCAAGCTGTGTGTGTATAGGCAGATCCAGGATTTTGAAAAGGGGGATATGGTAGCAGCAACTAGCACTTCAGGGATGTTTGCACTCCCCCTGCACCAACCCCCTTGTACCACCACCTGGGTGGGCAGACCTCACTATGGGACTTTCTGAAGTCTCCGAATCGGGTAAGAACCCACCACCCTGCTGCTCATGGCGCACTCCCTTCCCCTCCATGCTCAGTGGTACCTCTCCTCCCCTTCTCTATTTATGCCTCTGGCCACAGGAAGGAGAGACCCACCTGCCACTGCTGTCCCAACTGGGGAGCAGCTGTGCAAGGAACTCAGCTAGGATAGGGACAGCAGTGGTAGCAGACAGCTTCCCCTTCCTGCACCTGCTCCTGGGCTGGTGGGAAACACCTAAGAAGGATGGGCAGGAACGGGGAACCTGCCTGCTACCGCTGTCGCCAGCTGAACTCAGTTTCTCATGCAGCCTCTCCCCACAGCCTCAGCTGGAGCAGGGCAGGAGTGGCTCTGGGGCTCTTCCCACAGCTTCCAGCTGAGCACAGCAGCAGTGGTGAGTGGGCCTCCTCTTCTGCATCCAGAAGCATAAATAGGCAGAGGGAGGGGAGGTGCGGCTGTGGGGGAGGAGGTTTTGGGGATGGTCTGTACCTGCTTCAGGGCCTGAAGTCCTTGGCTGCTGCTTCTGCAGTGTGGTCTGGACTCTGCAGAGTCCAGACCACACTGCTACACAGGTGGTCCAGACCACCTGCTACATCAGGTGTCCAGAGCCACCAAGCTACACTGTGGAAAGGAGGATATGACAGAGCCACTGGATCCACTCCAACTATGTGAAGCTCATTTTCCTGTACTAGAACAAGTTCACACATGCCAACCTCAAATTAAGTTCACTGATATCTTGCATTTTTTATGGAATGCTTTGGTGCTAGAGCACCAATGAAATGGATAGATTTGCACAATGTTAGCAACCATAGCATGATGCAGTTTATCAAGAAAGAAGACTGGATTGCTTTGTGGCTAGCACAACTCAAAGTAGTTATGCAAATTCATATGACATCTTTCTTACTGTATTTCATTGCAATAAATAAATTTGTGTGAATATTCTTGATTATATTTGTTTGTTCTACCTAGCTTGATCCACCAGTAATCCTGCATGGCATGTCCTTTAATGTGCATTGCAATTTGCTAATCTTTACTTCACTTGGATAGAATTTGAGTTGTTGATGAAAGCCTTAGGAAGTTATCATACAACATCTTTTAAAGGAATAGTTGGAGCGAGTATAACTATCCCACATCCATTGTTTGGCAAGGTATCAGTTGACTAACACTTTGCTCCTATTAATTATATTGGGATTAAATTTTTTTTCCTTGCATTAATTACTGTAACTTTGATTTGCAGGCATGAACTAATATACATTTGATGTATTTTTTCAAGCAATAAGACTGAACCATGTTTAAAATTCTAATTGCATCTTTATAAATTTGCTTCTCTGCTTTTTCAGACAGATGAAGTATTTCTGGAAGCTCAAATTCAGAATATTACAACCTCTCCAATGTTTATGGAGAAGGTTTCATTAGAGCCATCTATTATGTACAATGTAGCAGAACTAAATACTGTCAACAAAGCTGGGGAAAGGTAAGCTTTTTAAAATCAGGGAGCATATAGTTCAACTTTAAAACTATGATGCTCTATTAAGTAGCTTTCTTAAAATAAAAAGTATGCTATTAGCATAAAGTGAATAGTTGTAACCCATTTGTGAACCAGAAGAGAGTTTAGTTATACCAAGGATTATTGAGTATCTACCATGGCATGTGGTAGGAAATGAGGAAAGGTGCTACACAAGTTTTCAAATAATACAGGAAGTTGGTGGTATCCCAGACTTGCTTCTGACACTGTAAACAAACAAACAACCTTGAATGTGTTACTTATTAGGCCTGTGTGAGTTGGCAACGATCTGATCTACCTTCAGATCCGGCCGCTTCAGACCGGGTTTCCGCCTTGATCCAGCCCAAGCAGCTCCAAAGCTTCAGAGCCACCTCAGAGATCCGGCCGTAGGGTATAATGGGGAATCAATTAAATATCTATAACTTTGTTGTTTTTTGTCTGACTTGGATGAAACTTGCAGGGATGGTAGCCTCTACTGAGAGCATGAAATCTGCCAAGTTTCAAGAAGATTGGTGTAGGGGTTTGGGGGGAACTGTACCCCAAATTCTTGAAAGCAAAACTCCCATCACATCTGAGTTACAACACAGGGTGGTCAAAACTGCAGGGCTGGTAGCTCTAGCTAAGGCCACAAATCCTGCCAAGTTTCAAGGAGATAGGTGCAGGGATTTGGGGGGAACTGCACCTCAAGCTGCAGACAAGCAAAACTCATGCCATGGGTGACAATATGCGTTTTAAGGCGCAGCGGGGTGACAGCTGCAAGGATGGTGGCCCCTGCTGAGGCCACAACACCTGCCAGCTGTTGAGATCGCAGGGGCGTTCTGGGGCTGTGCACCCCTAGCTGCTGACAGACAAAACTCCTGCCAAGACTGTCTGTATTGATTCTTTCCTCTCCTTAGCCTGCTTTTGTAGGTGCTAATTGATGCTCGTTAAGTCGTTATGTAGTAGCTAGGTCCTGTGTATTGAACTGGTCCCTGAGTGAATCATGATTGATTGACAAGGTTCTTTGGGTGAATCTGATATCTTTTATTAGACCAACTTAAATAGTTGGAAAACACTTATTAAGCAAGCTTTCAGGTTCAAAAACCTTTCATCAGGCTAAGGAAGTTTCAGCAGTTGGTGTGCGCTCTTCCTGGATGGAATGAAAAGTAAAGAAGCCAGGGGCTGGGCTGGTATGCATACAAGACAGGTAGTCAGTGAAAATGTAGATGGTAACTGGTAACACAGTAGCTTAGCAGCCAGGCCTGCAGTAATCTCTCCCAGGCCTCAAGACAGACACAGTCAGTCCCACAGCACCCATGTCACAAGTTTTGCTTGCCTGCAAATTGAGGGGCAGTTTCCCCCCAAACCCCTGCACTGATCTTCTTGAAATATGGCGGGCTTCATCCTCTCTGCAGAGTCTACCACCCCTGAAAACTTCATCCAAATCGGACAAAAAACAACAAAGTTATAGATATTTTATTGTTTCCCCGTTATACCCTATGGCCGGATCTCTGAGGCGGCTCCGAACCGCTTTGGGAAGCCTAACGAGGCCAGCGCTTTGACCCAGATGTGCTGCTTCAGACCCCGAAGCTTCTCCAGATCCAAAGCTCTGTTGGAAGCCTCGCACAGCCCTATTACTTATTTGATGTGTGTGTGGTAAATGGAGCACTGCTGTAGATACTTGTTTGAACTTAAAATGAAGCTAGTATTTAACACTTTTAACAATGCATGATATTTGAAGTGTTCATAGTATTCTTTCCCTGCCTAAATTCTGTGCAAAACATGTTAAACTAAATTAAATTAAATCTCCCTCTCAAAACTAGTACTAGTATCATCCAAAGACTGTTCGTATAGAAACATTGTCCAGAAATTAGTGGGCAGAGGATAATAGACTAATTTAGCAAAACTGATTCTCCTTCCCAATACCACCCCCATGTAAAGATGCTCCTGAAGATTACCATATTACAACTATATCACATTAGTACTTGAATCATGAATCATTCTCTGTAATTGCTATGTTTTGACACCACCTCAGTCTGTTTTGCTTGTTTTTTTTTCTTCTGTAAGGACAACTTTTAGCCCTAAATGAAATGCCACATAAAAGGCAGGGTAGATTTGCATCTTAGACCAACAGACTTTGGCTAGTTTATATCTGGTCTATAAGGTGCAAACCTACCCTGCCTTCCACTCAACTTCAGACTAACATGGCTAATTATAGGCATGTCTATATGTTCATTAATGTACCATAATTGTGGCACATTAAGTTAGTACCCGTTATTAAAGGTAATACAGGTATTTATTACAGGTAAATTACAGGCATTACCTGTAATAACGGGTACTACCAATTATGATACATAATTATGGCACATTAATGAACATGTAGACATGCCTACAGTTAGCCATGTTAGTCTGGGCTACTGCGCATTAGCACAGATTAACTTTTTGTGTGATGCTTAATGCGCAGTGGACTAATGCTACTGTACATCAACATGGTTTTTGCCACCCTTGCTAACGCATAGTAGAATTAGTCCAGTGCTCATTAAGCATCTCATGTAGGTGTGCCCTTTGTCTCTAAAATGCCACAGAGAGTATAAATAATTATGTGAGATTATTGTTAAAGACTAAAACAAAGAAAACTGTTGATACCTACTATTTGAAAATTGAGGTACAATCTCTCTCTCTCTCTCTCTCTCTTTCTCTCAGCATGTCTACATTTGGCTCAAGGACTTACTTACAGCCTATGGATACTCGTCAATATTTATATTGCCTAAAACCCAAGCAAGAATTTGCAGAAAAAGCTGGAGTGATTAAAGGTGTTACAGTAATTGGCAAACTAGATATTGTGTGGAAAACAAACCTAGGGGAACGAGGAAGGTTGCAGACCAGTCAGCTCCAAAGAATGGTGAGTCGTCATAATTTGGAACATCCATTTTCAAAATTACTAAATACAAAATCTGGATACTTATGCTGTGACTAGAAAAAATTGTTTATGGTATCTGTCTCTTCACTGAACTCCTTACAAATTCGACATCTTTATATTTCTTCGCACACATTCAAGAAAATTAAGAAGAGTGGATATTCTGAGGATATTTTCAGTGAAGTGTGAAAAACAATGTTCCCTGACGTAGGTGAACAGTAACACTAACTCTCAAGCTTTTTGTTTGTGAGGTAAAGTTCCTGTCAGTCTGTGTAATAATTTTGCTTTGCTTGGCATGTAACATGGTTATTTTAGTGACATCACACAACAATGGAGCATAAATTTAGAGGCACAAGAGTAAAACATTTAATTTAGCAGAGTTAGAAGAACTAATTTCTTGAATGAAATGGGTCAACTGCAGTTGCCAGCAAGGCTGAGGAAGGAGACAAGCAGCCTACAGTAGTGGAAGAACAGGTTACGGATAACTTGGAACCATTCCGTTTCTCTAAGTTGGCAGAGCCAACTTTGTTGCAAAAAGGCTGATATCATACTGGGCTGTATTAATAAGAATGTCATTTTGTAAATCGGGAAAGTGATTTTCTTGCTCTATTTGTCACCGGTGAGGCCTCACTTTGTAAGTACTGTGTCCAGTTGTGGGCTCCTCACAACAAGAAATAATTAGAGTCCAGTGGAGAGTGACAGAAACAATCAACTGGAGGCCTGGGAAATAGGATTGATGAGGCTAAGCTGCAAGAACTAGAATTACCAGGTTTGGAAACAAGAGAAAACTGAGCAGGGATTTAGTAAGTCTCCAAAGCCAAAGGGTGGCTTTGTGGAAGATGGAGATAGTTTAACCACAATACTTTTTTTCATTAGACATTCTCTGTGATGACAGGGGATGGGACAGGGAGCACTGGCCTTAAATTGCAGCAAGGGAAATTTCAGTTGGATGAGGAACTTCCTCAGTTTGTGGGTGGTTAAGTATTGGAACAGGCTGCCGAGAGGCTGTGGGATCTCCATCCTTGGTTTTTTTGAGAGCAGGTTAAACAGGTGCTCATCTGGGATGGATTAGTCGGGGATAATCCTGCCTGGAGCAGGGTGTTGGACAAGATGACTTTGTGAGGTTTCCTTCAGCCCTACCCTTTTTTTTGAGTACACTAGAGTGCAGTTATTGCTTCCAAAAGTCTCTTTAAATATGGCACCTGCTATCACCAGGGATCCTGGTTTTCCCTGATAATCACAAATTCTCTGATATAAAACCCCCCAAATTCATGATTAAAATAAAAGGCCCCCCAGCCCTGCCCGAAGGGGCCCACTGCAGGTTCAGGCTCCTGCCCTGCTGCCCTCCCCCCAGGCCTCTGCAGGCCGGCGTGTGCAACCCACTGCTGCAAGGAACAGTGGAGCCGCACTGGGATCTCCTTGCCACTGTGAGTGTCGCCAGGGCAGTGCGGGGGAAGCAGCACGGGGTTGTGCCACTCACTGCAGTCTTGCGTACGAAGGACATGTCACCCAGGGCAGGGGGCACCTGTGCTCTGCAGATCTGTGCACAGGATGGGCATGGGTGCGCATAGCCTGCTGCTGGCTCAGGCTCCTGCAGTGCTGCTGTTTCCCAGGGCCTCTGCAGCCTGGCGGGCATGACCCAGCGCTGCAAAGCAGAGCATGGCCACACAGGAAAGCTACTTGCTGCTATGAGCTCTGTGCTGCGCTGGTAACATGTTCTCTGCTCGCAGGGCAGCAGTGAGCAGCACAACCCCTCACTGCTTCCTCCGCGCATGGAGGACGCATCAACAGGGCAGCACGGAGCTTGCAGTAGCAAGGAGATCCCTGTGTAGCTCCACTGTTCCCAGCAGCACCCAGTTGCACACGCTGTGCTGTAGAGGCCCTGGAGAAGGCTCAGCAGGGCATGAGCCCAAGCCCACAGTGGTCAGCCTGCCCCCACCCCTGCCCCAAGCACAGATCTGGTGGGGCACAGGTCTCCCCTGTCCCTCTGGGAGTGTGCGCAGCAGCAGGGAGCTGTCCCTGACCCCCACACCCCAAAGAAGCTGCCCACAACCCCATCCCACTTCCTGCTGGGGCCCTGTGGCCATGCATTGCAGCCCTGGGCCTCTAGCCCAATGCACCACCGGGCTGGGCCGCGTTCCTGCCCCCACACCCCCTTACCCCCCGCTTACCTATGGGAGCTGCTCTTTCTTCAGTGTGCCTGGGCCCATATGCATATACATACACATGGTGCCCCCTGCAGGCTGGAACTCTACCAGCCTCCAGGGAGCTTTTTGCAAAATCCATAGGTTTCTCTGCTAGAATGAGAAATCTGAATTTCACTTGGGGCGGGGGGTGGAATCTGTGTTTTACTCCATTTTTCCATGGGAAACAAAACCCAGATCCCTGGTTATTACATAGACATACTGTTTAAGAGCATATGGATTTACACGTGCTTCCTTGAATAATAAAGATAACTTATACTCCTGTTTTGCCTTGCAGAGCCAACATGGGAAATTATATTCTATACCTCACTTTATGCCTCAAGTTTACAATTTTTTTATGTTCTGTAAGGGCCAGTCATACAACTGTGCAGCATCAGCTCATTATAAGATGCTCATAGTTCAGCCCTGACACCTTTTCTATTGATCAGTCTGTCCACATCAATTCTCACATGATGAAATAATTTCTACTTCTTTTGCCTTAGTGTCTGCCATCTGAAGATCATAATACTGACCTACTTTGTAAAGTTTTTGCATCTGTTAAACAAAAGTGCTCTGCAACTAAACTGGTATTGCTAGTGATGTTGTAGCCGTGATGGTCCAGAAATTATATGAGGCAAAGACTTTATAGGGTGGTATCTTTTATTGAACGAAGTGCATCATTGGGATAGAGTTAGACAAGGTTTTGAATGCAAGTCATTCACCTAAAGAAGAAATGTCTTGCATGGAAAGCTTATCTAATTCTCCCCTAACTGCAGCTGGTCCAATAAATAATATTGCCCCAAGAAATTCTTGGACAACATTAAAACTTAACAGCACCACTAACCTTCAGCTTCACTAGCAATCACTTAAAATACTATGTGTTTCTGTATCTTCTCAGGCCCCAGGTTACGGTGATGTCAGGCTTTCCTTGGAGACAATACCAGACACTGTAAATCTAGAGGAACCTTTTGATATTACATGTAAAATAACAAATTGCAGGTAATGATATCAAGCGACTTTTCTTCAGTTTTGAATGGAAAGGTTATTTAAGTCCTTGCTGTCACCTCCAGTGAACTTGAACTATGCATCTGGACAATGGGCTAGGTACAGGTGTTCAGGGAGGCTAGATAGTGTTAATAATGGCCACCTAATCTAATTTAGTTTGCCCAAGTGTGAACCTAACTAGGGATTTAAGTGCAAATTGTACAGAAGTTCAAGAGCATTAGATCAGTCTAAAAATGGCTGATCCAGTCTAAGCTAAGTTGGACTGTCTTGGAGGGAGGGTTAAATCATGGCTGGAGCAACAAATCTAACTGAAATTCTGTAGTTCCCAGTGCAGGCCTGGGACTAGGAAAACCCAACCACTGGCTCCAGCTCCTGGGCTGCAGTTTTCCAACCACTTGCCCTTCCCCTAGCAGTATTTTTTTTGTTATAGCCCCTCACTCCTTTCCCAGACAGACAACTCCC